GGAGGCTCAAGATATTGCAAGGAGCTGAGCTGACATCGGTATGGTTCACAGGATGGGGCCCGTGGCATCGGCCCTCTGGGGATCCTCGGTCTCTGGGGTGGCCCCTACAAAAATGGCTGGGCTCCGTATTGGTGCTGCAAGTTCCCTAGGCAGGCTCCCTAAAGGTGCTTCGGTTGGGCTCAGGATGTACACGTACGGGCTCGGGGCCAAGGTAGACCCTTTGGTGGTTTATGTGGGGCACGTTCTGTTTATGTGGGCTACTGCTGTTTGGGAAGCTGTCCCTCACGTTCAGGTGTTGGCCAATACCATGAGGGTCTCGATCGCCAAGTTTCAGAATTCAGCTCAGCCTTGGAGGTCAGCGTCTTCTCCCAGCGACGTCGCGCTTTTAACGTTGCGAGGCATAGGCTGGGACTTTGTAGACCAGCACACCATCAAAGATGACTTGAATGTGGTGCATGACTTGTTCAGGCTTTCCCCGATGCAGGTCAGGACTTTGATCAGGCAAGGTGCTGTGCGAGCGTCAGATAGACATGCCCTGCACTTGCAGAACGGCCTGGATGGGCCGCCTGTGTACCTTATCTTCTGGGATGGTATTTCCAGGTTGTTCAGGGAGAAGTCTGTAGACTGGGGAAAGCACCATCAGAGATGCTTAAGAGGCTTGGTCTCGGGAGTTCACTGGCCCCAAGCTCGTCTGCATGCTCACAACCTTCACGATGATGATCAGTGTCAGGTGTGCAAGGGGGCCCCAGGTACTTTGTGGCACCGTCAGTACGAGTGCCCTGCGCATGAAGTCCTGCGGCGAGACCTTGCGAGTGTTCACTTGCGGTGTGCGCGGAGAGTGAAGCAGTTCGGGCCGCTGATGGCGGAGAGGTTCGCGAGGTGCATCTTTCCTCACCCTCGCTCGCTCTTCGACGTAGAGGAGCCCACGCAAATTGTTCACTGGCACGAGAGGCCCGAGACGGGGTTATTGACGGGGTTGCTCTTCCTTGACGGGTCGGCTAAGTACATGGGCCTCGATGGGCTCACTCGGGCTGGTTGGAGTATCGTGTCGGTCGACAGGTTTGGGGAGTTGATCTCGGCGGCCTACGGCCCAGTTCCACTGAGTGCGGCCCCGCAGCAAACTAGTAAAGACGGGGAAGACTATGCTGTATATATGCTTACGCAAGTAGGTCTTCCCCCTTTTCAATGCTATATTGATTGCCAGAGCACTCTGGATTCGTTGGCTCGGGGCCCTGGGTTCGCGGAGGGCCCTGGAGCCCCCCGTGGTCACCTGTGGGGCCCCGTGTGGAGCTCGTTCACTCTCAGCGATTTCGAGTGTTATAAGACGCTCGGCCACGCCACTGCGGCCGACGTCGAGGCTGGCAGAAGCAGTGTTTGGGAAAGACGGGCCAATGGGCTCGCAGATAAGTTTGCTAAATTAGGAGCTGAGTGTCATGGGGTCAGCGACGATGAGGCCAACCTGTACAGAGGCCTCAGGTGCCTTGCCCGCGAGGCCTGCAGGTGGGCTGGATCGGTCGAGGTGCTGATGTCCAATGGGCCCCGTGACTCAACGGGCCTAGTGCCCAGGTCGACAGGCAGCGATGGCCCGCGGCAGCACCCACAAGACGATGATGCCCACGGCCAGGCCCTGGCCGACGACCAAAGGGAGGTGGGAGGTTCTTTGGACTTGGGGGAGGAGTGGCGGCCTTTCTCTCGGCAAGTTTTTCGGGCCAACGGTCATGCTTTCTTGGCCTGCCCTGTCTTGGAACCTCCTGGAAACCCCAGGGGAAGGATCCAGTTTTGTTGTCGGTGCGGATCGTTTTTCTCTGGGGCTCCCAACGCTGGAGCTAAAGGCCTGTGTAGGCCCAAATCGACGACGGGCGGAATTAATGACCAGCTGAGAAGGATTCGGCAGGGCAAGTTTCCGTCGTAAAAGAAGGACCTGAAGAATTTAACTCTGGGGGCTCACGTGAGCCTTAGCCTCGCCGAACGGAGGGTCTTGGCTCAGACGCTGGAGGAGGATGGCCAGGCCCCCCAGGGAGTTTCAGGTCCCGCCACCGTAGGCTTCGCGGGGGGCTTCGCCCCGCGTGAGCAGGTTTTGGATTCGTTCGGCCTTGCAGAGTCGGATTTACCCTGGGTCAAGGACCTAGGTGCCGTCTCCCTCCGAGCCTCGAACTCCGGTTTCGAGTCCGACTCGGAGGCGTCCGATTTTGGCTGAATGAGGAGGTGATTTGGCTTCAGGCCCGTCCCCAACAACCTCGTCATCCTCGTCCTCGTCTTCCTCCTGTTCCCCCTCCTCCTCCTCCTCCTCCTCCTCCTCCTCCTCCTCCTCCTCCTCCTCTTCCAACCGAGTGCGGGCCGTTTGAGTGCTGGCCAGGGACGCGCTGAGGGCGAAGCGAGGGCTCGGCCTACCAGCATGGCATGTGCATGCCTGCTGTCGCGGGGTCGTGCCCACCCTCGTGTATTACGGCAGAGGCAAACATTTGGTGGACAGTCCTCTTCCTCCCCAAACTCGAAGTTGGCACGCGAGGGGTGCAGACTGCGGTCGATGTGCACCTCATCAGACCCACCCCCAACTTTGAACATTGCGGGGCGGGAGGGGGGAGGCGTTGACCGATCAATGTGGCATGCGTGCTCGAGATGTTGCCCAACCTGCCTGTTGCCGGGTCTCCGTTTTGACGAGACTGTCTCCGCGTTCTCCGCTCCTCTCCTCTCCTCTCCTCTCCTCTCCTCTCCTCTCCTCTCCTCTCCTCTCCTCTCCCCTTCTCTCCTCCACCTCCTCCCTCCTCCCGTCACCCCCCTCACGTTGGCGCACGCATCATACCCTTCGTGGCCCTATAGGGAGTTCCACCGAAAAACCCAATTGCGCAGCCCGCATGCGTCTCTCTCACCTAGCACTATGTCTCGTGGCCTTATAATGAGCTTCGACGAAGGTCCCACCGGCGCAGCCCGCATGCGACTCCCCCACCCAGTACAGCGCTTCGCGGCCCCATAGGGAGCTCCGCCGACGGTCCCAGAGGCGCAGCCCGCATGCGTCCCCCCACCCAGTACAGCGCTTCGTGGCCCCATAGGGAGCTCTACCGAAGGTCCCAGTGTCGCAGCCCGCATGCGTCTCCCCCACCCAGTACAACGTTGCGTGGCCCTATCACAAAGCTCCACCGACGGTCCCAGTGTCGCAGCCCGCATGTGTCTCCCCCACCCAGTACAGCGCTTCGTGGCCCCATAGGGAGCTCCGCCGAGGGTCCCAGAGGCGCAGCCCGCATGCGTCTCCCCCACCCAGTAAAGCTCTTCGTGGCCCCGTAGGCAGTTCAACCGACGGTCTCAATTGCGTCTGCCCCACCCGGTACAGCGTGTTGTGGCCCTATTACAAGCTCCACCGAGGGTCCCAGTGGCGCAGCCCGCACGCGTCTCCCCCCCCGGTACAGCCCCGCATGCGCCTCCACCCCCCCACGCCAATAACAAAACAAATAGGCTTGTGCCCCATTGGGAGCTCCACCGAAGGTCCCCCAGAGTCGCAGCCCATCACCCCCCCCAACGCATGCGTCTCCCCCCCTCCACCCTAGTACAAGGCGTTCATGGCCCCAATGAAAAAAATCCGCCGAAGGTCCCAGTGTCGCAGCCCGCATGCGTCTCCACCGCCTGGTACAGCGTTTCGTGTCCCTATGAGGGGCTCCACCGAAAACGAGACCTACAACTGCGGTGTTCACAACTGCATATGGTTGGGTCCCTGACCAGGCTACTTCTATTGGTGCAGGAACGCTCTGTTTACAATTTGTTGGGTGCCGTTATCTCCGACTGTTCCTTACGGTCCGCCTCCTCTTCCTCCTCGTCTTCCTCATTCGTTATTAAGGCTTCCTTTCCAAGGCTTTTCCATCAATGATTCCCTAGTAAGGGCTCTTGAACAAGGATTCTTGCATTCCGAGTTTATGAAGAGGGATCCGTTCTGAAGGAATATTTAGTAACAATTCCTTGCTAATGAATCAGTATTGAGGATCATTGGTTAATTGCTCGGCAGGATGGTCATTTTTGGTATTTTTGGTTCAAGCCAACTTGGCCCGAGCACGTGACTTTCTGGCTCGAGTGCCGTCTTAGATTTTTTGGATGTTGGCCGCTTGGCGAGGATCTGGACCAGACGGCTCTCATTTCGAAGCGGCCGCAAAGAAGTCCGGGAGGACAGAACATTGGAGAGAAGCGTTGCATTTGTTCTGGGAAGCATCTAACGAACGTGTCAAGCACAGCCAGAGCTTTTACGTTTCCACTATCAGCGCATTTCGAAAAGGACAGCAGTGGCAATGGGCACTATCTCTTCTAAGCGAGTTGGTTGCATCGACTGTTGAGGCCAGCGTCATGATCTACAACGCTGGGATCAGCGCTTGCGACAGAGGTCGGCAGTGGAAGCGGGCCTTGTCGTTGCTTAGCCAGATGGTAGAGACGAAACTGGAGCCCACTGTCATCAGCTACAGTGCTGTGATCAGCGCGTGCGGGAAAGGCAGGCAGTGGCAGTGGGCCCTGTCGCTGCTCAGCCAGATGGTCGAGACGAAACTGGAGCCCGATACCATTATCTACAATGCTGCGATCAGCGCTTGCGAGAAAGGTCAGCAGTGGCAGCGGGCCCTGTCGCTGCTCAGCCAGATGGTCGAGACGAAACTGGAGCCCGATACCATTATGTACAGTGCTGCGATCAGCGCTTGCGAGAAAGGTCAGCAGTGGCAGCCGGCCCTGTCGCTGCTTAGCCAGATTGTCAAAACGAAATTGGAGCCCACTGTCATCAGCTACAGTGCTGTGATCAGCGCGTGCGGGAATGGCAGGCAGTGGCAGTGGGCCCTGTCGCTGCTCAGCCAGATGGTCGAGACGAAACTGGAGCCCGATACCATTATCTACAATGCTGCGATCAGCGCTTGCGAGAAAGGTCAGCAGTGGCAGCCGGCCCTGTCGCTGCTTAGCCAGATTTTCAAAACGAAATTGGAGCCCACTGTCATCAGCTACAGTGCTGTGATCAGCGCGTGCGGGAACGGCAGGCAATGGCAGAGGGCCCTGTCGCTGCTCAGCGAGATACGGGAAGGGAAACTGGAGCCCACTATCATCAGCTACAATGCTGGGATCAGCGCTTGCCAGAAAGGTCAGCAGTGGCAGCGGGCCCTGTCGCTGCTCAGCCAGATTGTCGAGACGAAACTGCAGCCCACTGTCATCTCTACTACATTACAGGGCCCAGTGCGTGCCAGAAGGGCGCAGGCCCCAATGCACCGAAACCGCCCCGGGCTGGCCCCGGGCCGCCCCGGGCCGCCCAGGCAGGCTCCAGGACATGTCGAGAGGGCCCCCAGAAGCCCCCAAGACGGCCCCGGAGAGCCCCGGCACGCTTAAAGATGGGCCCAAGACGCCCGAGATTCGCCCCAGACGGCCCAAGAGGCGTCCAAGACGCCCGAAGAGGCCTCCCAAGAGGCCTCCCAAGAGGGCCCCGAGCGACAGAAATCGTCGATTTCTATTGTGTTTTTCGATGTTTTCGGCCTCCTCGCCTCTTCGGCTTCCCGACGCTCCAAGACGGCCCAAGAAGTCCCCCCGACCGCTCCAAGACGGCCGAAGAGGACCCCAAGAGAGCCCCAAGACGGGCCAGGAGGGCCCCAAGACGGTCCCAAGACGCCCCAGGACTGCCCCAGGACGGCCCAGGAGGCGCCCAAGACGGCCCAAGAGGCACCCAAGACGGCCCCAGGAGCGGCCCAAGACGGCCCAAGACAGCCCAAGAGGCGCCAAGGCGGGCCTCAGACGGCCCCAAGACGGCCCAAGAGGCACCCAAGACGGCCCGAGAGGGCCCTAAGAGCCCCCCGGGAGGCCCACAAGAAGGCCGAAGAGGCTCCGAAACGGCCCCTACGAAGCCTTCAGTGGCTTCAGAATTCCCTCCAGGAGCAGGGGAGCGGACGAGAGGCGACAGGCATATCGCAGGCAAAAACGCCCCAAGAGATTCCCAAACGGCCCCCACGAAGCCCAAAGTGGCCTCAGAATTGCTTCCAGGAGGGGGTGAGCGGACGAGAGGCGACCGGCATATCGAAGGCACACAAGAACAATGATTGCCTTTCGGCCTTGCAGCCGCACCCCCCCGCGCTTGCCCAGACACCCCTCGCCACGTCGAGCTGATGTCGTGGACGGAGTCCACAGGTCTGCCCTAGTCAGCTACACTGCTGTGATCAGCGCGTGCGGGAAAGGCAGGCAGTGGCAGAGGGCCCTGTCGCTGCTCAGAGAGATACGGGAAGGGAAACTGGAGCCCACTATCATCAGCTACAGCGCTGGAATCAACGCGTGTTGGAAAGGGAAGCATTGGCAGCAGGCCTTGTCGCTGCTCGTAAAGGTGTTTGAGGTGAAAGTGGAGCCCGACTACAAATTTCATGAAGCAGCAATCGCCGGCTGCGAGAAGGATGGGGCGTGGCAGCATGCGCTATGGCTTTTCTGCAGGCTGGTGCAGGCGAGGATGGAGCCCACTGTGGCCGCCCGCAGCGCTACGCTCCGAGCCATGGTCGAGGGCACATCAGGCGGCAAGCCGCTAGAAGGAGACTGTTGAACACGAACTCGCAGCGGTTTCTTGTCAAGAACAAACTTTGGACGATGACGACACTAGACATGTTAGGCCGTGGACCCGCTCTGCGGCCCGCGCAGTGATAGGTCGCGAATCCCGTTAACGCGTTCGCGTGATTTCTTTTCACAGCAATTCATGTTGTTACTCGCGCAGCGGGAAGTTTCGCCAGACGCACATTCGCGCATACCTACATCATTGCTCATTTTTCTATACTTTCCTCCTTTCCCCAAAATTGCATTCCCTCTGTCCTCCTGCCTCCTCTGTAGATACGAAGACTGTCTGGATCACTTCGGGCATACCTCTGTTCGTACTGACCGTTTGACATGTTCACCACCTCCAAGAGTCCAAGAGGTAGTTCGTGGCATGATCGAATTGCCCTTGCAGAACGTTCGGTGTCCAGAATGTTGCTTGAATTCTCTTTGAAAAATCACGATGGTTGCCCGCGTCCTCCTCATGGTTCAAGTCACTTGAGAGGTTAACACAAACATGGCAGTGAAACGGCACAGCTAAAACGCAACCGAAAACATCAGGCGCGCAGCAGCGCAGCAAGCACGCGGCACGCCAAGCAGCACACAGCAGCGCAACAACGCACAGACTACCAAACAACCTATCAGGTAGTAGTAGTAGTAGTAGTAGTAGTAGTAGTAGTAGTAGTAGTAGTAGTAGTAGTAGTAGTAGTAGTAGTAGTCGTAGTAGTAGTAGTGTAGTAGTAGTAGTCGTAGTAGTAGTCGTAGTAGTAGTGTCGTAGTAGTAGTAGTAGTAGTAGTAGTAGTAGTAGTAGTAGTAGTAGTAGGAGTATTAGTAGTAGTAGAAGTAGTGGTAGTATTAAGTAAAAAGAAAAGAAGAATCGTAGTCGTATCGAAGTCGTAGTCGTAGTAGTATTAGTAAGTAAGTAAGTGTAGTAAGTAGTAGTGTAGTAGTAGTAGTAGTTGAGGAAGAGAGTTACACGTATATACAGTAACTGAAAGTATATAGAGTAGTAGTAATAAGTATGTAGTAAGTATAGTATGTAAGTAGTAGTAGTAGTAGTACTAGTAGTAGAGTAGTAGTAGTAGTAGTAGTAGGTAGTTGTAGTTGTAGTTGTATAGATTAAGTAGTAGTATAGTAGTATAGTAGTAGTAGTAGTAGTAGCAAGTAGCAGTAGCAGTAGCAGTAGCAGTAGCAGTAGCGTAGCAGTAAGTAGAATGTAGCAGTAGCAGTAGCAGTAGTAGTAGTAGTAGTAAGTGTAGTAGTCGTAGTAGTAGTAGTAGTGTAGTAGTAGTAGTAGTGGTGTGTGGTGGTGGTGGTGGTGGTGGTGGTGGTGGTGGTGGTGGTGGTGGTGGTGGTAGTGGTGGTGGTGGTTGGTAGTAGTAAGTAGTACGTCGTAAGTCGTGGGTAGTGGGTAGCAGGTAGTAGGTAGCAGGTGGTAGGTAGTAGGTAGTAGGTCGTAGGTCGTAGGTCGTAGGCAGTAGGCAGTAGGCAGTAGGTAGTTGGTAGTAGTAGTGGCAGTAGTAGTAGTAGTAGCAGTAGTAGTAGCAGCAGCAGTAGTAGTAGTAGTAGGAGATAGTAAGAAGATAGTAGTAGAAAGTAGTAGCGTAGTTGATTAGTTAGTAGATAGTAGTATATAGCAGGGTGGGTGTGGGTGAAGTGTAGGAACGGTAGTAGAAAGTAGTATAGTAGTATAGAAGTAAGTATAGTAGTAGTAGTAGTAGTAGTAGCCGTAAGCAGAAAGTAGAAGTAAGAGTAGTAGTAGTAGTCGTGGGAGACGTCAGTAGTATTAGTGAGTAAGTATGTAGTATAGAGTAGTAGTAGTAGTAAGTAGTAGAAGTAGTAGTAGTAGTAGTAGTCGTAGTCGTAGTCGTAGTCGTAGTAGTAGTAGTAGTAGTAGTAGTAGTAGTAGCAGTAGTAGTAGTAGTAGTAGTAGTAGTGGTGGTGGTGGTGGTGGTAGTAGTAGTAGCAGGAGTAGGAGTAGTAGGAGCACCAGTAGAAGGCGCAAGGGCTTCGCAGAAGGCGCAAGGGCTTCGCAGAAGGCGCAAGGGCTTCTGAGAAGCCCCGCCGCCTTATTGTTGGTTCCCGAGTTGAGGTCGGAGTCGATGAGGCCGCACCGCTGATGCATCGGTGATGCGTCTCGATATGAAGCCCGATGTTCTCCACGCCGGCGTCGCCGAGGCATCGCCGACGTCGCGGATGCATCGCCGATGCATCGCCAATGCATCGCCGATACATCGGCGATGCGATGCAGTTCTCCGACCCCACCCACCCAGACCCCCGCCTGCCCCCCTTTCCAGAGTGTCAGAGCATAAGACATGCCGTTCACATGGAGGCCTTTCGGGGACTCCTTTACGAACACCGTTTTTTACAAACAAACCTTTACGAGCACCCTGACCTTCCAGAGTGTTCGAAGGTGGCCCCCCGAAGCTACAGACCCCTCTCAGGGCCTCGATCGGAGCTCGGCTCAGATGTCGAGGCCCGAGGAAGAAAACATTACATTAGCATAAACTTTTGGCGCTCCGCGCGGAGTTCTTGGGTCCGCGCTGGGCCTCCCCAGCGGCGCCTCCGGCGCCGCCTCTGGCGCGCTCTGCGCGCCAGGGAGGGGACGGTCCAGCGCAGATCCAATACATCCGCGCGGAGCGCCAACAGTTTGTGTTTATGGCGTTTGTTTTCCCCTATAG